AATCATTAAAAATATAGAGTATGTCCCTGGATTGTCCTTAGAAGAGGAAAAACTTTTTTAATATTGACGTTTTGAGAAAAATGCATTCTCCATAAACTGTTTTTGTTTGTTCTATAATGATTAATTCTGACTTTTCCATATTTCCATACCGTTTGAGAGAAAATAAAAAAAAACATGAATATATAATTTAATTTTTTCCAAAGTCCTAAAAAAGGAAAACGCGTTTCTGTGGTAATATAATTTCGTTTTCATTTTCAAACAGTTGTTGTCTCTCGTGTTCTGGTGTTTCCCCATTTTTCCCACAGAATCTGCATTTGCCGTTGTTTCTCAGCTTCAATCTACTGAGGTGTTCGTTGAAGAGACAGTGTACTATTGAAACCCCGTGACAATCGGAAAAATGTTTTAATCAATTAATTTTAAACAACTTAAATCAAGGAAAATCTTTGATTTTTCTCAGTCGTAAGTCCTGAGGAACTTTTTCGAGTGTCTTAGGCCGTTGGAGCATTTCCATTCCCAGGTTACGAATGGAGTCTTCCAGGTTCTTCAGTTCCCTTTTAAGTTGGTTTCTGCTTGGAAAGCAGAACGGTTCTGGTCCAGTTAATGGAGTGTTCGCTCCTTTTCTAGCTATATCGTTTGTTTTTTCATTGCCTTCTATCCCTTGGGAAGCGGACACCCAGAGAAGAGGACTTTATTTTCTTTGCCTAATTTGTTCAGCTTTTCGAGGCATTTTTTGTTTTGTGTTACTGAGTTGATCGCTTTTAGTGCTGCTCGACTATCGGATAATATGGCTATTTCCTGTTTTCGATAGTTCCTATCTAAGATAAATTGTACGCATCTTTCTATAGCGCAGATTTCTACCCTTGCTGGGTCTGGGGTAAGGTGGTGCCCATTGGTTCGGAGTATTTAGTTTTCGACCTAAATACTCCTATCCCTGTCCCTGCTTTGGTTTTGAAAGCATCAGCATACCACGTTATGGTATAGTCTTTTACATGCTGAGCAAACGTTTCTCTCTTCCAATCCTTTTTACTGCTTAATACTAGAGAGAGGATCCAAGAATTTACAACTTTGAGAAACATCTCAAAGTTGTAAATTCTTGGATATCATCATCATCCACTGGGAGTTAGAGGAGTGGAATTCAATCACAAAATTTTTGATGATTTTTTCACATCATATTTACGAATACTGAATTTTAAATGCAAGGTTTACCAGTTTGTCAAACAAATTATACTATATTTTGCTTTAATAAATGGCAAATAACGAAATTCTACAAATAACGACTGGATCGGTTACAGTATTGCTAAAATACTTGACATCTATTTCTGACTGTTGAAATATTGCAGCTTCAGTGGACAAATTAAATATAATATCCATTTTAAAAGTGAAGGGGCGTTTCAAGTTCTACAATTGGGTACAATGATACTAGATTTAGACGCTGTTCCTTTCTGCGAGATAAAATGAAACAAAAAATATTATGAAATGTTTTTAAGAACCTAATAGCCATAGGAAAATGAATCATTTTTGTATGATAAACAATCTGGTCGCTGGTCGCTTATTTTTAAATATTTTTGCATATATAAAATGTTTTAGTTCCTTTTTATTTATCTCCATTATAATTCATGCTAAGACGTTTTTAATTATGTTCTTCAATTTTAATTAGCTATCATGAAAAGGAATTAAATATCAATAGCAAATAATTTTAAATATATTTTTTACGATATTTAGTAGTAATGTCGTTTATGTTGTTCACCTCCAAGTCTAAAAATAACACAGTATTTTGATACAAATATCATATTTCGAACATATGGTATTTATATTTCAAATAATACCGTTTAAAATCATGAAAATGCAAATTATACTAACTGCAAAAGTACACTTCATTAGTATTTAAACGATGATCAGAGCAGCGTTGAAAAAATATTATACAGTATGTTTTAAATCTGGGATTTCAGTGAATTTACTACATCCTTGATGATGTCATGCTGTATAATTGAACAGCCTTCTCTCAAGGTAACAAGGCTCATCTTCAGTCATCAGTATGAAAAGAAAAATATTTTTTTCACTAAGAACATAACAAAGCAATTACTGATATTCTAAGCTATTATTCAAAATGTTTTTGTTTGTTAGATTTATTTTTAGAATCAGCTCATTCATTTTCAGTCTTTTTAACTATTGCATTAGTGTCTACAAAAACACTTTGAAATTTTTTATGCACAAAGTAACAATATGTTTAGTATTGGTATCTTATGAATTGTTACTTCCTATTATTTTTTATTATAAATCAGTACATGTTGATGATTTCAATGTAAAATAATTTTAAGAAAACAAGGATTAAAATTATAGAGAATAACAAAAATCTCAAATGTTTGTACAACTGTTTAAAATTATTGAGCTTTTGCCAGAACTAAGTATATTAGATAAGATTTTTGAGATGGGGCTATTGGCCTGTTCTGCTGCAGCCTTTACAGATGTATTGTGTGTGTGTGGTTCTCTTTTAATCTTTAAGTTACATTCTCCAGTCCTGTCCTATTCAAAAGTCCGATGACTTGGATACTATACTCTCACTTCTTATTAATGGCTTATTATAGCTTAATACAAAGAACCGCACATTTGTCGGGCTGCAACTTTTTGCAGCCTGCATAAAAAGCTGCAGAACCTGCTTTTGCACTGACATTAAATGTGTCCTACCGTCCTACCGTTTCTTCTTCTGATTGAAAAAATTTGCACATGGTTTTGTCCATCAATCCTATCAGTTTTAGATGCCTATTGAAGTTGCAATGATGCCTGTTAGTAGAATTACTACATTTATCACATTTTCCTGCATTTGATTATCAGGCCTGCTATAAAATTTGGCTAATGTTCGACTACGGATTTTTATACGTACCTAGCCGTATATTAAGATTTTCTTACTTGTTTTTATGTAATAATATTTTTTACTGCATCATGAACCACAGACCTTGAATCGCTTTAAAAATACCATTATTTGCTAATAATTTAATTGAGGAAGAATTTCGTTCCATCATGTTATTAGTAAAGCAAATAATAAAACGTTTACCGTAAAATGGGGTGAATAGAAACAGTTTCGTAGGCTATTAGCGATATACCGGTTGATAAAAATGTGGTATTATTTTCCCGAATATTTTAAAACATGGGTCTTTGTTTGTTCTTTTCGTATACATATAATTTGATTTTTGAAAAATATGCATATAAATATTAAATAAAAATAACATTTGTGTTTCTATTCACCTGCTATTCGGGAGAATAGAAACACACATTGATGTTAATGTTTTTATCTATTCTACTTCCAACAAGGTGATTAGAAACAGTAAATTATTACATATTTAAGTAGGTTTAACAATAATTAACAATACATATAATATGGCAAACAGTGCTGCCACAGATAAAAATATAGTTTTTACATTTTATTGTGTATTACCAATGATAGAAAAATTAGATATGTGGACTCCTTTTACTTTGAATATTTTTAATCGTGATTTGATTTTTTTCAGAAATTTTGTTTCTATTCACCACTATGTTTCTATTCACCCCATTTTACGGTATCGTTTAAATGTTTCACAGCATCGGTAAAAATAATAAATTGATGATAACTTTAGATATATGGAAAACATTCAAATCTATTAGAAATATAAAATATATACAAGGTGTCCCAGAAATAGATGCAAGTATTTTAACTGGTAGTATAGTTCAACCCCAGAAACGCGTCTATGAGGTTTTTCGCGAAAAAATTTTTTGGAAAATTCGAAATTTTTTGAAAAATTTTTTAGAATATTTTTTAGTTTTTAGATAAAAAACATAATTTCTTCATAATATGGCAACATAGGTATTAGATTAAATTTACAATCCGAATCAATGTGTAGTAATTTAACAATTTCGCAAGTTAATAATATTATTTTTTTTTAAAGGTTAGATTAGGTTGTAGAGGATCAAGGCAAATTAATAAAACTGCGTTTATCTCATCAAGGAGCCTGATATCGACAAAATATCAAGAGACAAATTTTAGTCAGCCCCATTAAACGGCGTACATTATTTCGCCCACAAGAGAAAAAAAATGTGGCGTACATGCTTTTTTTTAAACAATATTCCAGTGATTACCCATATGCCCGTCCCTGGTGAAATATGTTGACACCCTTTTAGCATTAAAATATGTCTCACTTATAGTAACTTTTTACCCTCAAAAAGTACGTGAAAGAAAATTATAATAAATCGAAAAAATAGAAGACTAAAACCCCCTGTAGCTACGAAACAAAGCAGAATCGGACCTATGTTGATATGAAAAATAAATCTTATTTTTACGTGAGGCATCTCTCCACGATAGATGGCACATGAACTATTGCTTTTTGAAACACCCTGTATAATTTCTTAAAATTAGTGGCGACTCGTGAATCGTGAATTCTGGTCGAGGGTACAGCCTTCAGAAAAAAAAACGCTCTACTGCTTTTAGTACATAAAGTTTATCCCTCTAGTTTTAATGCTAGAATTAACATTATTTATTATTTTTAACTGCAACGTAACTGTTGGCGTGGAAAGGACGATCGATGATAGTCATCTCTGACGCCGTTTTTTTTCGATCGTATAGAATAATCATGTACTCAGTTATATACCTACTTTTTGTTCTTTTTAGGATCAGCCGCCACTGGTCAAAATATAATATTCGGTTTCATTTTTACTTTTTAGTAAATAAAACTTACGGTGCCCAGTGGCGTAGACCAATCTCAGTCTCGTCTACGAATCTCAAGATGTGGGTTCGATTAAAATAAAAATAGTTTGGGTACCTAGGTCGCCTCAGCCTTAAATGAGAACTTGGGATTCACAATCCTGAGGTAATAATAGGCGGTTGAAGCGTAGTGCTAGCCGCATTACCTTCCTGGTATACCGAACGGCTCTAGTATAGCAAGCTGTACCTTGCTACTCCCAAGGCGCCGAACGAGATATGCGGGAGCTATAATTATTATTAGTAAATAAAACTTTCGTTTTTGTTACAGGATGACGGCGGCATTGAATATTTCAATACAATAGTCGTTCAGCCCCATCTGAAATTAGTCACAAATCAAGGCAAAGGATTTCATATCAGATGCCGTTACGCGACCAGGAATAATTCAGCCTACAATGAGGCTCTAAAAATGGAGTAAGTAGATCTAAGCTGTTCACTGAACACACTGTATATATTAATGATGTTTCAGTCCAACCAATTCACCTTCGAACCCTGTAACGGCAATGGCTACCATGCCCGGGTGCAGCATGAAGATTTATTCCGGAGAACCATCCGATCATTTGGTGGCAGAAAACGTAAAGATCGGAGATCCTCTGAGCTTGGTCGTGGCCATAGACGAGCAGGATTTGTATGGAATACGGGTTACAGATTGTGTAGTAAAAGGTAATATTTTTACTAAAACTCCATTTAATGTTATAATACCTAACAGTTTTTTTTTATTTTAATAATTTCTAAATCCTTTCTTTCAAGTCTATGATAGCAGTAATATCAAGGTACCAATAAATATTTCTGGTTGTTTCATATTAAGATAAATTAGCCCAAATGTTGCTTTTACAATTTAATAAAACGAGAATGTAAAATCCTTTATTTTCCACTTTTGTTTAATTGCAAACAGTAAAATAAAATAATGTTTTCACCACAGTACCACATTATCAACACTTACTTACTTTTAACTCTGGACGCACATTTCATTAACCATTTTAACATCATCAGCAGAAATAAATTATCGTATGATCGAAAAAATGTTCTGTGATAGGTAGAGTACAATATGATCATTTACGCTGTCATTTGTTTTATATGTAAATTCATATGGAAAAGGTCATTGATCGTCATTTCCCAGCCAACTCGACGCCGTTTTTTTTTATCGTACGGTAGAAAAATTTATTGAGGAATGCTTATTAATATATGGTCAGCCAGTCAGATGACACTTAAGGCGCCAATGGGCTCAAAATAAAAGTCTTGGAATTGCCTGAATGAATTTGGCACTCTGGTAGAGAGAAACAGAATTAAATTATTCTATCCAAAAAAATTATATCTTTTTAAATTATTTTATCTAAGGCGACTAAAAAGCCAACGAACTAGCAAGGCAGTGATCGGAATTTTATCTTGGTCCAGACCTAGTACTGGAAATACTCATGTGTAGTGCAGTAAAACTCTAGACCAAGCAAAAGCAGACCATGCTCAAAAAACAGACCGTGCACAGGCGTAGTAACGGCTTCATTCAAGTAGCTAATCCTAAAACTACAAAGAAACTGTTAATGCTCAATAGGGATAAAGTGCGAATTACAACAGGTCTCTTGACAGGACATATGGCTGTCAATTGCTACCTGAACAAGCTCAACCTGTATTAGGAAAGTCTTACTGGCTATTGGCTACTCTGCTACAGGCTCTGCTATACTAATTCTGAAACAGCAGAGGACACCATGGTGATCCAGTGCCTTTGAGGCTCTTGACCACAAGGCACGCTTTCAGTATGGCGAAGCAAGGCTAGAAGAAACTCTGTTTTTATTCTATCAAGGACCTACACAACCTGGTGAAGGGTACAGAGATAGTCACAGTTTTCCCGGCATAGGACGGCACTTTACTATTGAGAAAATTTGTGTGTGCGCTATGTGCGCATATTTAAAGTGAACCTTCTTACTAACAGCTCTTAAATTGAAGGATTTGAGTGACATGTTTGAAAAAGTATAGTTTAGAATGTTAAAAAAGTAATAAATTAAATAATAAATAATTTGATTCACTTTCACACAATTTATAATAAAATGTCCGTCTGTCCGTCTGAGGACTCCATTCGGGTACCTCTATCCACGTGCTGAGTTTGGTTCCAATTGACTCATAATTAAGAAAAATCCTGATAATTTCGTCCATTTAGCGGCATCGGTTCGAAACGTCGCGCGTCTGGGGCGTCATCCTGTAGCCCGTCCCCAATTATGCCGAAATCGATCCACATTTTTTTTCAATATATGATATCCCAGCCTGATGAAGATGTAAACGAAACGTAGTAGCGCGTCGTATTCAACTTTGCAGGGTGGGACCGTGTGCACTGTCTGCTCACATAGCCTACCCAACAAATCTGGTCGTGATCGGACGACATCAACTTTTAAAGTTTCTTACGTCAAAACTAACTGTCACAGTGACACGTATCGCACACGGTCAAGTTGGCTTTAGTCCAATCTATTGACATACCAAATTTCAATTATATTGGGTAATTTTTTCTAAACCGTAGGCTGTCTTTACCACTTTTCCTCTTCTTGTCGTGTCGCGTGTTGCCTCGCGTGTCGTGTCACTGTCTAGAATTTTCACTCCAAGCGCGCGTAAAGAACTTAAAAAAATACCCTTTGATATAAGCTCAATTCAGTTCAGGTGACTTTATATCATCTGATGATGATTTAACATGATAAGCAAAACGCGCGTTCAGTGTTGAAAGTATAGTGTATTGGTGTATTGTGCTGAATTAGTTATTTTACTGTTGTAACGCTAAATGTTCTAACCCCAACTGTAAACTGCAAAGAAGCAATAATATTCGCTAACTATCTCACGCTTATAATTCCAACACTGTGGAGAAAATTGTAATGGCCGAAGTGTTCTTATACTACTGCCATTTTCTTGACTATTTTTCTTTACAACAATAGATTTAATTTATTTAAGTATTAATTTATTTTCTATTACACAGATGGTCTGGGATGGGGCGAACAAAAACTGATCGACTCAGATGGCTGTCCAACCGATCCAGAAATAATGGGGATGTTCCAGTATTCTGGTGATTCCAATAAAGCAGAAGTTCAGTTCAAGGCTCACAAATTTCCGTATATCGCATCGGTTTACTACCAGTGCAACGTGAAACTTTGCCTCAGGGTAGAAGATGGATGTAATATGTCGGTAAGTATAATAACATCTGGAATAGTTTCCTGGTTTTCTTATTTTTCTATACAGGGTGTCCCAGAAATAAGTGCAAGTATTTTGAGGGGTGGTAGATATCGATAAAAGAAACATATTTTCTCTTTATCGTTTTTCAACTATGTCCAAAATAAAGAACAATTTACTTTGAAAATTTCCAAAAAAAATATTTTTTGCTAAAATTTTGAGCACTGGAGGTTTTCTGTATTTTCTTTCTTATCAATTTAACCTAGTACCTATGTTGCCATGTTATCAAGAAATTATGTTTTTAACTAAAAACTAAAAAAAATTCAAAAAAATTTCTCAAAAAATTTCGAATTTTCAAAATTTTTTTTTCGAGAAAGAAACCTCATAGGCGTGTTTCTGGAGTTGAACTATACTACCAGTTAAAATACTTGCACTTATTTCTGGGATACCCTGTATAAGAATGTTATCCTAAATACCATGTATGTGTGTATTACATCCTTAGATTATAGATTTAACATAGAGCCCTCTATGCTAATGTCGTTTACTTCGTGCTGATTAGATCTTTTGATATTACTATTATTGATTTTTACTATTATAACAACAAAATATTTAAGTTAGTTGACAAGGGTTAATTATTTGACTTTGAAAAAGCATCAAGTCATCTTATAGTGCATACAAGATTTTGTTTTTTAATTCATCATTATTTTGGTATTTTTTGATAATTTTCAAAAAACAATGCAATAATTGATTTTTTTTGTGAACTTTTTAATTATTGGCATTTCGAGAAAAATGCATTCTTCATAAAAAATTGCTTTCCTGAAATGATTAATCCCATCTGGTTCCATCCAGTGTTGGATATAAGCCTCTTCTAGGTTTTTCCATGCTTCGCGATCTCTAGCCATCTTATCCATTGTCTTCCTCCCACTGCCCTGAAGTCATCGACCCATCTCTTATTTGGTCGGCCCACACATCTTGTTGTTCCCCTAGGTCTCCATAGGATGACTTTTTGGGACCATCGGTCTGGATCTTGTCTTGCCACATGTCCTATCCATTGCCACCTCAGACACTCTTTTAACAACATCTATTAATTTTGGTTTTTGACGTATGTGGGTGCTCCGTATTTTTTCCCTAATGGTGACTCCGAACATGATTCTTTCCATGGCTAAGCACAGGTAGAATGCAGCTGTCGTAAGCCTTTTTCTTTAGATTGATGGGTACCTTTTTATCCTTGAAAATATCGCTCATATTTTCAAATTCTACCCATGCCAAACGGATCCTGCATTTGATCCCCGTATTTTGGTTCTCCTTACCCAGCTTGATTTTATGACCTAAATATATATAATGGTCTACGTATTCAATAATAACGTTGCCTACTGTAATGTTTTGGATATTGTTGCTCATTATCTTGGTCTTCTTCAAGTTCATTTTAAGTTTCTGGGATTGGTCATTTAGCTCCTTTAGCATGGTGTTCAGTTCTTGAATGTCGGTGCTCAGCAAGACAATATCGTCTGCGAACCTAAGATGGCTAAGGTATACTCCATCGAAGATTAGACCTTTATTTTCCCATTCTTATTTCTTGAAGACATTTTCCAGTGCCATGCCAGTGTAAATAACTTGGGAGAGATGGTATCTCCTTGTCTCACGCCCTTTGCCGAATGAATTTTTTTCTGTTTTGAGGTCATAATCTAATTTAACTTGGAAGGTTGCACTATCATAGATATTTTTAATAATGGAATAATATCTGGAATTAATTCTCGCATCCTCCTTTGCAGCTAGAAATGACCAGGTTTCGATGCTGTCAAAGGCTTTTTGGTAGTCTACTAATCCCGTTTAGACTTTTATAATTTTCATACTCTTTCAGTGGAAATTAAAAATTTCCGATAACTATTAAGGCTATTATCACATCACCTTTTTCGTAGCATTGAACTAAATAAATTTTCTGATTCTTTAACATTAACAGCAATAAATATCAATAATAATCTGTCAAAGAATGAAAACGAAATTATATTACTCTAGAAACGCGTTTTGAAATTTAGGTTACAGTTCAACCATAATTTTTTTTAATTTCTTTAAAATGGTATGGAAATATGGAAAAGTATAAATAAGATTAACCATTTTAGAACAAGCAAAATTCTTATGAAGAATGCATTTTTCTCAAAATGTTAATAATAAAAAAGTTATTCCTCTTGTAAAAGCTATCCGGGAACATACGGTTTCAATTTGTCAAATATGGGATCCCGTGTGCAGATTTGTGATACAATATTGTGCCATACCTTAAAATTTTCAGAAAACCTTGTAGAATATGAATATTGATGGGCCCTCTCTAGAAAATATGGTAGAGGGGTATATTTTACCCCTTTAACACCCCTAAAGGAACAAAATTTAAATTAAATGAAATTATGGAAACAAATTGTTGCATAATTTCAAAAACTCTTTTTTTGATTTAAGATAACAAAAAATATGGTTTAAAAAGTGACAAGGGGTGATTTTTACCCCTTGCGACGTAAAGGGGTAACTTTTAATGTATGCGTGTTACTTAAAAATACTATATTCTTTTCATGTTTCAAATTTTAAAATAAATCTAAATTAAAATTTGCACTGGAGTATCAGAGGGTGGTATTCACCCCTTATAATATGTCACCCCTAAAATAAGAAAGTTTTCTTTTTATGTTTTAATAAATAAATAATTTTAATAAATATCTAAAGTAAGCACAACTTCATTGTTTAAATAAAGTGTAAGAACATGCGAATGTAGTTTTCTTACCCCAAGCACATTTTCTTATTAAGTTGTTATAAAGTTATATTATGGTTTTATATTTTTCACTTTTTAGCATTATTTTAATATTTTTACTCGTATTTTTATAATTTTTATAATATTTTTATAATGTTTATAATTTTTATAAAAACCAAGTCAGGGATAGTAGAGCTTAAACAAGATTTAAGCATGTTTTCACGATGCGTTCTTATATGTAGAAGTCGTGCTGATTTAATCTTAAAGGAGATTATTAGAAAATATGAATTAACTGCCTTGCCACGGTCTTTATTTTATCCCGATGGCTCAATGATTCATGGCCAGGGAAAAAGTTAAATTAGACATCTTCTGGCAGAGCTTGTTCACAATGATTCCAAAATTAGTGATATGGATGTAGATATCTTAAAAGAGTCTTATAATGTAGCAGTTGTCGATGGTATGGCAGATGTGCAAATATTATCGTTTAAAAATGTGGAATACTTTTCTGATTTGTCAAATCAGTTTTCAACCAAGATTTAAAAAAAAATATTCTACATATTCTGAAGTTCACGTTGACTCGTATAAACACCACTCTTTGAAATCAATGGAAAAGATCAGAAGTCAAAAACGAGCAGACCCTATACAATATATAGTTAGTGATAAAACTAGTCTTAAAAACACAAATCTAAAAAGCTGCTCTCATGCAACGACGAAAGGGGAAATTACACAATAATCTCAAAGTGTTATGTTCCTTGGAAAATTTCATATCGGCTACAACTGCTTGTGACAATATGACGGACTTGCAGAGCTCACACGAAGAAGCTGATCCAAAATTAATACTTCATTCCGTACATGCATCTAAGAGAGGAGTCAATAGGATAAGAATATTTTCACCAGATACTGACGTTTTGTTACTTGCTTTGAGATGTTTTCCTTTGTTTCCAGAAAACACAAAGTTTGTAAGCATCGGATCAAGTAATCAGGAGATACGTTTACGATCAATTTATGATTCGTTGGGAGAGTTAAAGGTAGAAGCTCTTCCAGGACTTCACGCATTGAGCTGACGTTACAGGTGCCTTCAAAGGTAAATCAAAAATTAGCTTTTGGAAAAAGTTTCTAACAGCTTCTCCATCTACACTTCAGGCGTTAGCTGCTCTTGGGAAAAATGAAAGTCTGTTATTGAATAAATCGAATCTTTTATTTGCAGTGTGTATTCATCAACAAAGAAAAGCTTTAGCAAGTTATCCGACCTGCGATGGTGGATCTTTAGCCAAAAACAAAATTCCAGCGATAATATGCCACCAACCTTAGCAGCTCTGAAACCAGCAATACTGAGATGCCATTATCAATGCAGGGAATAGTATAGAGACATACTTCCCCATCCTTGTTTACCACCAGCAGCGAAATATGGGTTAATGGTGAATTTGAACCCATAATAGGTGATCTTCCCTGCGCCCCTGATGAAGTGTTAAATTTAGTGAGATGTTCCAAAACTAATTGCTCCCAACGCTGCAAATGTGCCACTTTAAGTGTGGTATGCACAGAGATGTGTGCATGTGAAGGAAACGTTGATTCTTAAAAAAAAATCGTAAATGTCGGTTTTGTAGAAGAAACCAGCTTGGATTCGGATGACTCAACGGATGACGAGTGTTATACTGTTCGATAAAATGGTAACATTTAGGGACTGTGCCCCTCTTTGCCCTCTCCCTCTTACTACAAAAATGCCTCATTTAACAAACATTTATATACCGTTTCTCTAGCTCTGTTTTATTTGATATATAAATATTAATGAACATCTATATAAACATTCATCAGTGTTTCTATAAACATCAACACTTATATAGCCAAGAAGGTTTTTTTAATACTTATTGCTATTTAAAACAAAACTAACATTTATAGGTTAGGCATTGATTATATGGCGTAATCGTATATTTTTAACCCCCAATGACTTAGGGGTGGAACAATTGGAAGTATTTACAAGTTCCAAAAACAGTTTTGTATTAAAAAATACTCGTTGTTAAAATTAAAATATATTCAATACATTTTATTAAGCGAATTTACATTATTTTATAATGGGGTGAATATAGGGGGTTGTTTCTTCCCTCAGACGCATTTGCGAGAGAGGGCCCATCGATTCTTGGAATCTGTGTGGTATTATGAAAATTTTAAGGTATCGCCCAATATTGTATCACAAGTCTGCAAACGGAATACAAATTCAAACTGGACTACTATGTAGGTAAGTTTATGAAGAAAAAATATAAAGCTTATAAAAAAGTTTATGAAG